GAGCGGTTGTAACTAGGTCGGCCGAGGAGGTGAATGCTACGATACTCAAATCCTTGGGTATTTCTACGGATTTTGGAGCTGCTTTGGTCCGGGACACAGGAGAAGCATCGACTTCCACTCAGCCTCCGCCTCGTACTGAACCACAAGCGGAAGCTCAAGGGACGGAGGCACAACAGACTCTTCCTCCTCCGATTCCGCGACCACCTCCTCAACCGCGCTCCAAGTGGCAAGAGCTCCTAAATGCCATTTGTTGTATGGAGACGCGAGTTGTCGAGCGCATTGACCAAACGGAGCGGATGATGACCGAGCGGCTCGACCGACACGATCGCCGTCTTCGTGCGATCGAGGATCATTTCCATATCCGCCGGTCCCCTACTCCTACAACTCATCAGGAGGAGGGCCATATTGGTACCTCACAAGGTCCTCATGGAGCCGAGGAGGGAGTAGACCCTCGTTCCCAGCAGCCATGATGCTCTTTAGCGGATTGGATCTTTTATTTCTTTATTTTTCTTTTCTTTTGTTAAGACAAACTTTGTACATTTTATTTTTCTTTTAGTTGAATCATCTTGTGCTACTTAAGCATGTTTGGTACCCTTGTTGTCTCATTTTGGACACAAATTGGATGATTGTGATGATTAAGGGCTTCAAATTGCATCACCACCTTTTTAATTCGAAGTTTAGGTTGTTTTACCTTCGTCTACAATGACGACAATGTGTCTTGAAATGCATGATTTTAGTTGTTTATGGCTTCAAAATGTTGGAATTATATTTGGAGATACTGTACAGAGGAGTTATTTTTCTGAATTTGAGGATGTTGGCAGGGAGTTTCATCCATTTTTATGGGGAAACTCTGTCCAAATTTTTCGAAAACGTTTTCCAATATTTCATTCCAAATCTTCCAATTAAATGCCCAAAATGTTCCAATTTTAAGTGTGTAATTCTTCCTTTGGATAAAATGCTATGTGTATTTTAGAAAAGTTTAATTCTTATTTGGCTTGGAATGAATTATTATGCTATTAGGATTTTTACATTTTCCAAAGTATATTTGGTTAAATAAGAAAAATTATGCTTGAAAATGGTTACAAAGTGTTGTCTATGGCTTGAAACTGTTTTACATTTTAGTTGTCTATAGCTTGAAAATGTTAGTTTTGTTTTTGGAAATATTGTCATAAGGTTAATTTTCTTGAAATTGAAGTTGTTGACAGGGAGTTTTGTCCATTTTTTTGGGGAAATTCTTTCAAAATTTGTAAACAATGTTGTCCACAATTTCAAGTTACTGGCCAAAATGTTCAATTTTGCCCATTTTTTTTAGTTGATTAAATGGGTGGATAAATGCATTATTGGATACTTGAGATTGTGGGGGACATTCCATACGAAGTTCATGCACGAGCTGAAATCAATGGGAAGATAGTCCCGACGATAAAGTGCACAAGAAATTAGGAGAAAAAATGAACGAAAAACGAAAGAAGACAAAAATTAGGAAATTTAATGGAATCGATCCGAGCTTGGATCGATAAGAGCTAAGACAGATCCGATCCCTCGTCTGTACTTCTGTAGGTGTGTATCCGAGGTCAGAAGATCCGCCCTCAGATCCATCATGCGAAGTCCTCGGATCCTAACTATCCGAGCTCGGATCGTAGGATCCGACCTCGGATTTATATTCAAGCTTCCCATCCAAGGATCGGATCAGTGGACTCTCTACAGCAAGTGTCACGCCCGTCTTCCTTAACCTTTCTTTGCTTTCATTTTTTTCCTTTTCCTTTCCAACTAACAAACAAATAACATGCACTTCATAAAAATAACTTATATAATTTTTTAAAATAACATTGCGTTGTGCAATTTCTAAAATTACGGTTGACATTGTAACATATATTAATGACTATTAACTATTATATTCTTATAACTAATTTTTATCGGTGTCAAAACATTTATTTGACACAAAAGGAAAAACACTTAATATTTTATTCACAACAAATACTCAACACCTTACATGTTAACAATTTCATTCTATTTTCACATTGATCTATAAAATAGAAAGAACATTGATCTATGACATACAAAGAACTATCATGTGTACTTTTTCCACCATTTAAATGTATTATAATTAAATAACGTATTTTCAACGTACAATTACCAATTTTTGTTATTATAAAAGAATTATGCATGTATAGTAAATTATATTAAAAAGACTATTGTTAATCTGATTTTGTTTTAGCTCATATTTGATGACTTTAGCCACGTGCAAGTTCTAAAATAAAAAATTTATTATTCCTCTAAACATTACACATTTTTAAACAAAATTTCTCTAACCTTTCTCCGAAAAATAAGATTTTCGTACAGATTTTAAAATAACATTTTACTACCGACACCATTTTAATAAAGGCAACTTCTACAAAACAAACAATATTTACATTTACTTTTATATTTTTTATGGAGCTCGTAGATATCATTACATATTTTTTTCCTAACATTTTTTAAATTAATTTTGTAAAAGTCATACTTATAAATGCGAAATCTAACAAAAAAGTTAAATACAATTTTTCCAGGTCAAATTTAACAAATGCGAGCTATTTGCAAAATTTTAAATATTTACAACATTTTTTAAAACAAAAATTAGAAGCTTTCTGCGAATAATTCCCTACCTCTCAAAAAATACAAAATAAAAAAGATAAGAGCTCGCATTTGCTTTCTGGAAATAATTCCCTAGCTCTTAAAAAATGAAAAAAAAAAATAGAGTAGAGCTCGCATATGCGGAATGCGAGCTCAATAAGCAGAGTTCGCATTCCGCGAATGCGAGCTCTTGTAAGCTCGTGAGCTCGCATTTCACAAATGCGAAGACCCCCGGACGGAAATTAATCCCAAAATCACCACTTTTGTAGAATTTTTTTTAAATTCATCACAAAGTTAGAAATTTCTCAGTATTTTTTTAACTCAAATTTGAACTCGAACTCGATTCGATCAGCTTGAACTCGACTCGAGTTTGGTGTTCATCGAATTCAAGTCGAGTTTTGAATCGAACTACACATGAATGGTTCGAATCGTATGCAGCCATACTCCGAAGCATCATGCATGAATTGTTTCGTCAAAATATAGAACTTTGAGTGGCATTAAAACATGCTAATCTTAACGTAACTAAACTCCTATCTCTGAAATCTCAAGTTTGTCATATGTGCCATTGCATCTTGGGATGGGATGATATACAACTTTGTAGCCTTGCTAGCTTTTATTCACGAAATAAAAAAAAATAAAAAGGGAAAAGGTTCTTACTAGCTCAAAGTGACAGAACACTGGAGTTTGCTGTCGAAAGTGAAACATCTGAGAATTTGTAATAAGACCTATTCTCTAGGATTAACTAAACCATGAAGAGCTGTCGAAAGTTGTTTGGATTGCAAGATTTTCAAATAAAAATTTCAAATTTTGTTTTACTTGCATCATACACACAATTTTCAATCACTTTTTTATCTCATATAAATCACATCACAAAAAAATCCTACAGTAATTATTTCAAATAACTTCCTATCCAAACAAACCCTATATGTTGTCAACTTATAGAGACAGTCTTACAAGATCAAAGGAAAACTCGAGATTTTTCAACCTTCATTTTTAAATTACGGATAAATGATAAATGCAAATATCCCAGAATATTACCTTATTCATCTCATCTCTCTCATTTAAAAAAGAATGCGTTTAGCTATATTAATAATTACTAAGTGATATGACTACAATGTGAATATGTGATAGTAAAATCTGAAATAGTTCTTTAAAAAAAAAAAGCCTCAAATAGTTTTAAAAAAAAAAAAAAAAAAACAAAGAACAAGTACGTACTCTGACTTGGCTAATATCAACAATATAAAATCTCCATCGGTTTGTTAAAAAAATTGGTAAACTCTTGTTGATTATATACATACTTGAACTGCTTTAAGAATTTCCCCAATTATGCATGAATTCTCCGAGAGACTTTCTTAGAAAGACAACCAAGATTGAGGATATTCACCACAAAATTATGGTATTACTCGGTAAAACTTAAAACATCTGCTCCATAAGCGCTTTTAACAACTTAAAATAGACATGGAGGTATGGTTTAGTGGGAGGGGAACGAAAAAGGGTTGCCTGTTCAAATAGTTTAACCTTTTTAATTCATTACAAATTAATTATACAATCTTATATTACATGTAATATTAAGCTACTGTTCACATACATGTTAGATTTTATTTATGGGAATCATGTGATAATTTCTCAACTTTGAAACTTTTTTGGTGGCTTCTATTTTTGAAAGTTTTTATCGAAAAATATACCGTAACGATTTTGTGTATCTAAAATAAAAAAATAATTAACAAATGTATTCACAAAAAGTAAAATGTATAATTTTTTTTTTTTACAAAAAAAAACAATTCAAATGCTAGACAACCACCCTTAACGGTCATAGCGAGCGAGGAATGCAAAAATGTGTTCACGGAAGAAAGTTTTTTTTTCTCAAAAGATTTTTATGCTTTTTATAAACATATTTTTTATTTATTTTTTTATTTCATATGTATCAAGTCGTTATAATATATTTTTTAAAAAAATGCAAAAAAATAGCAATCCAAACGGGAGATTTTTCTGCAAAAATGACAATTCAAATCCTAGCAGGCTATCACCATTGCCGGTGATAGTGGACGAGGAATACAAAAATCGGTGCGCGTCGGCTGGATCCTGTTATTCTATTCCCACTATCACTGCAATTGGGGGTTATTCTCATCTCATCACGGCCGTGGATGCACGCTCAAATGCCATCACCCGCGTTCACCGTTTAATAGATCGCAACCGTCAAATAGAACTGTCCCCACAAGTCATTCAATTGATCAGCCCAGTCAACATTATACACCTGGTTGAAAGTCCACTCAATCCGACGTGGCAGAGATCCAAGGACCAGCTGTAAAACAAGTTAAATTCCGGTTTACAGCCTCCTACAACTATAATTAAATTAACACATTTCTAACAGACAGATAACAATAAAGTAGTCACAGCAAAAACGAATATAAACTCCAATTTTCATCCAGACGAAGAATTTAGACGAGAGAACGGAGAAGGGTGGGAGGAAAAAAGGAGATTTATTCATTAATTGGGATTTTTTCTTTTGCCGATAAATTTGTATTACTGAGCTAGAATTGATATTATTTGCAGAGAGAATTTTTATTTATTTATTTTTGGTCGGGGAGAGAAAGAAGGATGAAGATCACGGCGCTGTTGGTGCTGAAGGTCGGACCGGACGAGTCGAAGGATCCGGTGATATTAGCCAACGCAACTGACGTCAGCAGTTTCGGATTCTTCCAGAAATCCAGCGTCAGAGAATTCATCGTCTTCGTCGGTCGGACCGTCGCCAAACGGACGCCTCCTGGCCAACGTCAATCCGTCCAGCACGAAGGTAGGAATTAGCCTAATATTAATCCTAACAGGAGTCCAATCTGTTGAAATTATGCGGATTTATGTGGGAACTAATTTTGCGGGGAGAATATATCGTTCGGTTTTTGGGAATTTAGGTTTAGATTAGGGAAGATTGTTGGAACTAATACAGGTAATTGTAGGAATTTTGTAGTTTTATGCTAGGGATTAGAATCTGATGAGTTAACGTGTCTTTCTTAATTTGACGAATTTTGTATTTTTGTTTCTGAATTAGAAATGAGAGTAAGAAAATGAGGATTATGCGAGTTATGGAATTTTAACTGGGACGAGGCCCTTGAACATGAAAATTTACGTTTTTTAGCTGAAGTTGTTAGGCATTTTTTGATTGAATATTTCTGTCAAAGATTTACTTTTTGACTGGAAGAAAAAATGACGACTTGTGCATTTCATAGCCTGTTTTGATAAATCTGTCATTTCCCTGAGAGTTGGTGATCCTAGATGGCACATTGGAAAGAAGTATTAAATTCGAGTTCTCCCATTTTAGCTGGAAAGTAGGCAAAATCCCTTGTATTGATTCTTGATAGTCAGGCACATTTGGCAAAACTTTGCAACATTTTGATCTGTTCTAGGTTTTCTTCATTTTGGAGGCTGAAACCAATACATATCCTTTGAATACTGTAAGATAGACTGAGTTTTATACCAACGCTGGTTGATTTGTAGGGTATTAAATTTTTTAAGTGCCTATTGTATGACCTTTCTTTCAGTGCCTTGCAAAAGATCCTTTGATGCGACCAACCTTAGATGCATCGAAAAGGAAGAAGTAAACCACACATATTGCTGTTGTTTGGGCAATTCTTCCATGAGTTAGACTTAAGGTCTACACCATAAGATTAATGCTTAACGAGTTATACTAACTCATGCTTGTTCTATGTGTATCATCTCTTTAAGTTGGTTCTACCCCTCATATCATCTTTTATCTATTTACTCATCCCCCTTATGCATGAGATCATATTACTGGATGGTATCATATAATTGCTTAAAGCTGAATTTTTTTTTTGTTGCTCTAGAGTACAAGGTGCATGCATACAATCGAAATGGCTTATGCGCACTGGGTTTTATGGATGATCATTATCCTGTCCGAAGTTCCTTTTCACTGCTAAACCAGGTTAGCTTTCCTGTTCTGGAACTTGTACTAACATGGAGGTCAGCTTGGATTTCTGGATATAACAAGTTGATGACTTTGACCTGGTCAGGTCTTGGATGAGTATCAGAAAAATTTTGGTGATGCATGGAGAGCGGCTCAAGCTGATAACACTCAATCATGGCCTTATCTTGATGGAGCTTTGTCCAAATTCCAGGTACATGAAGCATTATGTCTCTGTTCTACTTTGTTTGGAAGTTGTCTTTAGGACTTCCATGCTACTGCATTGTACAATTTAGAAGTTATGTATATATATATATATATATATAAAGAATTGCTGATGGAATGAGCTGAAGCTTTGTTCTCTTTTTACCTTCACTGATCTTTTGCCATTCCACTCTATAGGATCCTGCCGAGGCTGACAAATTGTTGAAAATTCAGAGGGAGCTGGATGAGACAAAAATTATCCTTGTAAGTACTTTATCCTAATGGGTCTATACACCTTTCAACTTGGTTTGTATCTTAGCAAGATCCTAGAAGTCAATGGTTAGTGAATGTTGCTGAATTTTTTAACTCCATATACATGTCACACTGTGTGTGTGTGTGTGCGATTAAAATGTTAGTTGACTGAGTAGACTTATTAAGCGATGCTTCTAGTTAAAGTTCATAAGTCAAAAGTCAAGGACTTCAGTATTCAGTAGTTGTTTTATAGCTTGGTGTATCGCATGATGCACATTCTAACATCTGAATTTTTGGACTTGTATATGTAAGTAGTAGCCATTCTTCTACACCTTTTTTCCTTTCTGCTCCTACTGCAGTTATTAATACTGCTATAATTGAGACAAGTTTACAATGAGAGTTATTTGGTTGGATCTGAATTATGAACTTTGCATTGTTTCTCAATGAGTATAATGTGGTCGAGGTAGTTTAAGAGATAGGAAATCTCTCTTTTCCATTACTTGTTTGACTTTGTTAATAGTGGAGATACTATAAATTGATTGAGTTATTGAACCTCAAAATTGGCCTTTGAGATTATGTAATTGGTGGATCTTGCAATTTAATCTGTTCGGAGTATTTTCATTTTTGGCCTTTATCAACAATTGAAAAATGACAAAAGATGTCTATGCATCGATTTTCTTTCTACTTCCTTCCGTTCTTCTAATCATTGACGAGAGTGTTCCAAGTAGATAACTGCAGGTTGATAGAATTGCTGCTGTTTTATTTTAGTGTATTCTGCTTCATGTTTGTGACTCTGATAGCTTCCATACGAGGACCCAGAAACTGGGTTCTTTTAGGTTGGAGGTTTAATGAGATCTATATGTATCTTGCTTCTTGAACCGTCGTCACTAGTTTTATTAAGTTCCTTCATCAATGGAAAAAATGTGTTCCAAAAGCAATTCTGCAGTGAGCTTTTCAACTCAGGATTTGGCGATTTTCCCTTAATTAAGTGACTGTATAGCTGTGATTGGTGTTTTGATATCTGCTTTTAGAGGTTTTAGTTTCTTATAATAATCTATACCCGTGGTTTACACAATTTCTTTAGGTGGTTTGCTTCTTTGAAACTTAATCACAAACAAATTGAATAGGTCCGTTTTTGTGTTGCTACAAGCCTATTTCATTTTTCAAGTTGCTACGAGCCTACTTTTTTATTGTGATTCAACTGGCCCATTATTAGTTCAAAGACTTTAAAAACCTTTTGCCTTGTCAGTAACAATCTTGATTTAGCAAGTTTTCTCTATAAATTAGTTTGTCCTCTTTAACAAGATGCATCAGTTTTTGACATTATTTTTGCAGTCCTACTCATTTTGGAAGAGCTTTTTGACTAGTTAATATTGTGTGTGGATTTGCTGTAGTGACTCATATCGTATACTTCTATTTCAGTGTCTCAATTTGATCTTTTATTTTGTTCTTTTTATCAGTTAAAATCTAATATATCTTTTCTGTATTTAATGCAGCACAAAACTATTGACAGTGTCCTAGAACGTGGTGAGAAGCTGGATAGTTTGGTTGAGAAGAGCTCAGATCTCAGCGCAGCTTCACAGGTGCGTGATAAAGAGCTCAATTTCAGTTTATGTAAAAGCTGGCTGCATGTTTGAATGGGCCTGGATTAACCCCCTCAGGTCACCATCTGGGGCCAAAAAAATTAAAATGGTAGTGCAAATTACAGAAGCAAAAAATCTCCCTGATGATTAGCTTTTCCAAGTGAACATTTGGCAACTCTATGTCTTAGGCTATGTATGCATAATTCTTTTCATGTTACAAATTTTGTTCTCTTACTCAGTGCATGTGCATTTGGTAGGGAGGGATTCAAAGCTTTTGCAGTTTCTTTCTTTCTTTTCTTTTGGGAGGTGGTTTTGGCTGCTCCCCTAGTGGTGTTATTATCTTCATTCTTGTGTTTTAGTGCCCTGTCATGTTTTGTCTTGTAACTTAGCATAGGGCTAATGTGTATCTGGAAGCTTAGGTGGCATGCAGTTAACCACTTGGCTTTTCTTGGTATTTTATTGCTGAACCAAGAGGTATTTGTGTTTGACGTAGTGTTTCATTGGAAGTCAATATAGCTTCTGCTATAGTTTGACGAGTCTGTCTGCTTGGTTTGAGAAGTGATGGGGCAATTGTGAGATGTATGGGGTTGTCTGCTTGTACTTGCATTTCCTAAAATGGGATTGCAAATTTCCAAAAATGGGACGCGTGGTTTTTGAAAGTAAGAAACTGATTTTTAAGTTGGAAAAGGTCTTGGATATCTACTGATTTTGATTGGTCGAGCTTTTAATTCATTAATCAATTCTCTCATTACTGAAGTTTTTGCTTATTTGTCTCTTGTTAAACAGATGTTCTACAAGCAGGCAAAGAAAACTAATCAGTGCTGTACGATGTTGTAAATCTTCTGAAGATGAAGGGGCTGCTCAACCATGTATTTCACGCGCGTCTGATATTATACATATAAGAAGTTGATTGTTGTTTATATCATTCATCAGTCGTGGTCAAATTGAATGCCTTTTGTGCTTCCCCTTTGTTCCTTGGTTTTATGGTTGATGAAGAGGAAATGATTTGGATTCTTATAGGCCTATTATCGTCGTTCTTATTACAGGATGTCTTCTCAATTACAAGTCAGGGTTTCTTTCATGACCGACTATTTCTAATGCTGCCCGTCTATTAATACATGAATTTCAGTATATATATATGCAAGAGTCCCTAGTTGAAGATGTTCTATGCTAATGCCCGTTCATCAGCGAACTTTTAATCACAAACGGAAATGCGCACGTTCTCTAATCTAACTTATCTATTGTTATCAAGCAATTCGGCAAAATTACCAGTGAGGGTTGGACTGTAGTTTTACAGACTAATCTAACTTAACAAGTCATGTTGTGTAGTTTTTCTAGAGGTTTAACTTAAATAATTTTCTATTTAAAAAGAGTTCTGAGTGTATATTAGTTTTTTCCACGCGTCGAGGAGGCAACCATTTGTTTTCTGGGGCATTTAGTTAGACAAAGTTGACGCCCAGATTTCTGTTGATTACTTGAGAACAACATTTTTGTGGATTGCTTGAGCAGTTGTTCTCGAGATAAAGAGTAGAGCTTGTCGAAACCCCATATTCAAACGGCCTAGCACTTGAAAATGTTCCCTCGCTTCTTAGAAGGGCTAAATCCTTTTTTTTATTTTTTATTTTTTGGGAGTATAACGTTTTCACAGTTGGTCCCATACTAGGGGTGCAGAGCAGGGAAGGGTGATGGATCCAACTAAGCTGTTATAATCTTCTTGGTTGGTTGTTTTGAGATAAACTTGACCGTGTCCAAATCATTTAGCCTCCTTTAATAGTCACGTCTCCCTGTCCCCCAAACTTCCCTCAAATTCTTTTCTTTTCTTGGCATTTCTTTCCACCCAACCTAGGCCGTGGATTTATCGAATTGGTCGATAACGATGGATGCTTCGCAATACTGCTAAGATCGCTACAGCTCATGGCATATCTCCTCCGCGAAACTTAGCCGTTGCATCAGAAATCAATCGCAACAGTTTCCTGGGCTCCAAGAAAATAGATGGACCTCACTTGTGGGCACCAAGATTCATCTCCATATTCCAAGTGGACCTTCCTATAATCCCTTAACGCTTAAGTCTAGCATTGACATTGAAAGGCCCCATTGGACGTGGAGGTATCCAAAGAAACTTGATCCCAAAGATAAAGCAACAAACAGTTTTAGGCAAAGACTCAAATTGCATTCGAGATCAAACCACACTATTCTCAAACATTACAGCAAGGACACAGCAGAAATAATAATTACATTACCAAAGATGGGACTCTAAGGCCCTTTTATTCAACACCACTACTATTTCTTTTACTGATTGCATCACTAACGCCGCAATTTTCGAAAAGGGGTCTATTACTAACTACTTCCCAAATAAAGATTTGATCCACCAAATCCCTTTGTTATCGGTGGAAGCACCATCACTCTCTGGAGGAGGGTCATGCTGTGGTGTCTTGTGCAGCTTACTAACATCATAGCCTTCCTCAGCAGCCTTTTGAACAAGCTGGTTGTAGATCTCATCCTCCAAGTGGGTTTTCCTGCTCAGTATCTGTTAAACAACACCACCACCTCTGAATTATGCTCGTAAAAAGCTAAAGATTCAATTCAAGAATCCTTCGATGGGACAAAAAAGAAGAGAAGATCACAAATAAGGAGAGCTCGAAATTTTGAGTTGAGAGCATTTCTATTTTCAATGAGGAATCCGAATAAGTAATCTAAAGGTTGCATGATTATCATTTTAAATTTTACATCCATAATTACTCCATCTATTCTAGTCTATATTTGGGTTAATTAAAGAAATTAACCAACCTTGGTGGAGTTGATATTTTTATAAAGCCAAAACGACATTTATGGGCATCTAATACATCCCATAATTCACATTCTGCTAAAATGCTAATCAATATAATTGACAATGGAAGGATATAATTTCTGTTTCTGTTCTTCTTTCTTTCTTCCTTCCCTGGATTCAAATGTGTTATTCTAGTCCTATTTGTATGACCAGAACTTAAGGTAAGAAAATCACATTAAACCAATTTTGCTAGCAAATTTTTCCCTTTTGTATCAGATTCTCAGAATCAAGCATCACAGAAAAGCAATCAATTGTCACACGATTTAGTTATACCTAGAGAAGCATGATGCTGTTATCAAAAAGAGACAAGGACAACGTACCCAAAGATACTTCCTACTAGGCTGGCCAATCAAGGCATACTGGTAATCATCATCAATATACAAAACCCAGTAATCCCCAGTAACAGGAATGATAGGCAAGAAGGGGGGGACATAGAACTTGACTTTGAGCTTTGCCTCATCACTTTTGGGGTCAGCCTTATAGGCAGTGCCTTCAATGGAATCCCTTTTGCCATCAGACCAGGTTTCATTCAGAACATGGATAGTTCCATCAGAGTTCAAAGTGTAGGTGGCCCTTGTGTCAACCCCATTTTTTGGTTGGAAGAACGAAGGAAATGAAGCAATTTCATACCATCTACCCATATACCTCTCCACGTCCAGGCCTTTTACCACTTCCATCTCTTTCTTTGGTGCCATTTTTTGCAGATTTTGAATCAAATAGAGGCTAAGCAGATAGATAGATAATGAAGGTTTGCGCCCAAACTACCAGATGGGACTTGATTTTTCTGTTTTCCGGATTAATACTAGTACTTGATAAGGATCTAAGAGAAAGGAGGAGAGGTTTAACATGTATATATAGAGTTTGGAGACGTGGAAAGTTAAGGTCCATAGAATTTGTAGAGGTTCCAGAGAGGCTCCGGGTTATTTCCATTGCTTTACAGGTCATTCTAGAACGTCTTTAATACGTAAGAAAATACTACCACTGTATTATAGTAGTATTTCACACTAAGCAAATGACCCAAATACTCTCCTACAATTGGATTCTTTCCATTTAGGGATAAATGGAGATATTCCGTTTGCCCTCCCATAATAATTCTTCAAATTGTTTTTAAGATTTGAAATTATTCATGATTCATATCAAGGTTGTATAATTATTCGAAAAAAAAAATGTATATGAACTGATTTTGGAAATGATGTGAGAAGAAGATAACGTTTGGATTAGTCTCATCTTTTCGAAATTTTTATTTATTAAGATTCAGTTTCATAATAAAATTACTGCATAGGAATACTCATTCACATTTATTGTCCTTACCTGTATTTAAATAATTTTTTTCCATTTCAATTCAAATTGCCCAAAAAAAAAAACCTCTTAACTATGTCAAAAATTGAACACCTCTACTATAGATAAATATAGAGGAATAGAAATAAAGACAATCCCTCAAAAGCAATAATATTTTGAGAATATTTTGCTTTATGGGCCATTGTAAAATGTGTTTGGTAAAAAAAAAAAATTCAAACTGTCATACTTCAAATAAAAATTCTGTAAATTTTGGCTTATTAGACAATTTATACTAACAAATAATTTTCATTTATTGTTGGAAAATGAATATGTCTAGGTGATATCTCATATTATCACCTTTTTTTCTGATCAATTAAAATAGTATTTTGGACAAACAAACAAACAAACAAAATTCGTAGTATTACACTTGAAATTTGAAAGTCACAAGTATGATCAAGAAATACAATTGATTTGGAACCAACTGCAGTTTTTTTTTTTTTCCCTAATCCTTTCACATATTGACTATCCCTTCGACAAATTAATACTCCTCATGTATTTATAACACAAAGAAAAGATTACATTTATTCTTATCTACCACATCCCAACATATTAATTATGCAGCGCCGGTTTTTACATTAATGCCATGCCATGCATGTATGGACAACCCGCTAATATATATCAGCATCTAAACAAAATGTGTTATTCTAGTTTTATCGTATTATCAGAATCTAAGGTAAGAACTTGTCCTTGAACCCACATCAACATAATACAGATACACCCAGTCTAAATTTTTACCACCATTTTCATGTGTGAAAATGGCAGCTTGATTTTTACCATTTTCATGAATTGATCAATTGTACAGAGAATAGATGAGAAAAAAAAACATACCCATAGAAATCTCCTAGTAGGATGGCCAACCACAGCATTCTGGTAACCATCATCAACGTATAAAACCCAATAATCCCCAACAACAGGAACGAAGGGAAGGTCTGGAGGGATGCGGAACTTGACTTTCAATTTTGCTTCGTCACTTCTGGGATCGGCCTTATATGCAATGCCACTGATGGATTTTCTTCGGCCATTAACCCAGACCTCATTCAGAACACTGAAATTGCCATCAGGGCGCAAAGTGTAGGTGGCCCTTGTGTCAACACCATTTTTTGGTTGGAAGAACGAAGGAAATAAAGCAGTTTCATACCATCTTCCCATGTACTTCTCCACGTTTAGGCCTCTTACTACTTCTTGATGGGATGCCATTGATTTGCAGATTAAGAGTGAAAAAAGGGCTAAGAGAAAGGGAGACATTTTGCTATGAAATGGAATTGTTTCTTGAATATTTCTTGTAGGTATAGCTTGAGGAAGAAAGCAAAGCAAGGTTCAACAAGTATATATATATATGGCGTGGAGACGTGGAAAATAAGGAAGGATGGTCTCCTTAAATGCGTACCTGTTTCACTACGAGTGGCAATTGCAACCGTTTAGTAAATAGATCTAAATGCATGTGATTCAAATGGATAAAGATTATCCATCCACTAAGGAAACTTTTTCCTAAACATCTACTCCCTCCGTCCCACTTTGATAGTCCTGTTTTCCTTTTTCGTCTGTCCCAAATTGTAATTTACTTTCCAATTGAAGAATGTAATTGTATTTTAATTTTCCTAAAATGCCCTTATTCAAGGTAAGTTGTTGTTACTATAAATCTATCCTATTTAATGAGAGTTGATTCTTTTTTTACCATCAATTCAAATTCCCATAAAGTTGTACTCTATTTAATGTGAGGGTATTTTAGGAAAATATCAATCTAAATTTACTTTTCCAACAAAGTTAACTACTTTTTCTTAAACTGTGTGAAAAAATAAATAGGACTATCAAAGTGGGACGGAGGGAATAGCTGGTTTCACTATTTCACTCTGTGTGTGTGTGTGTGTAAAGGATATATAATGCAAGTAAAATCAATAAAGAGTAGTTTGTTTATCATTATTCGATGAATTGCAAAGAATCTCCATTGACAATCATACCACAGCGACTGTTACTTGTAGTCTAGAACATGCGGACAAGAAGTAAGAGGAGAAAGAAGGATAATAACAACTATCTCTGTTGGAGAAATTGCAGAGTCAAGAAACTAGAGGAATAACAAGACCTTAATTAAGATTTTGCTCAGAATTGTCAAAGTTTTATTAATTTAGTATATAGCTTCACGAATATATGCAAAGTAGCAGGGTTATATTCTGAGCTTGTAAATAGTTTAGATTCTATCAATTGTTTGTCATCGATATCTCTGCAAACTATTCTAAATATTACAGGTTTTAGGAGATGGAAACTTATATCCGTTTATGGCTTTCTTGTTAGATGCTTTTTTGCTTCCACCTAGCAGTGAAAGGATTTCAGAGAAGAAAATTGGTGCATTTTTAATTAGGAAAGATGGTCACATTATTAATTTACATTTATATGTGTGTGTACGTATATAAGGATGATGCAACTTCTGACTCGGTGGAGACAGAAGCAACTAAAGGATGATAGATGTCGCAGACAAGAAGACTTGAATATGATGATGATAATGCAGCTGAGGATAATATAATTTGAATTGGAAAAAATAAATGACTTTTGCAACAAAAACAAATTATGTATATAGTATTATAAAATGCAATTTAACCATTGCACGGACCATTTTAGGTTCAAATCTTTACTTGCATGCAGACCATAAATAATCCAATGTTGAACGTTCTATCAATGGTTGAGATTGATAAATGTACTAACTATTCTTACTAGTGCTTGTGTCAAAAGATAAGAGCTTATATGATAAATTTTTGTCATGGTCAAGAGCCAATAAAAAAGTTTCACGCGAATATATAAAAATTTCACTTGATAATTCACATGCTAAGTGGGGTTCACTTGGCAAGTTAAATGGAATCGTGTTAAAAGCAGAGTTAAATTTTTTAATTAATAGAAATTTTAAAGGGAAGGAATAGAGATGAATGTAACAAACGACACGACCAAAAACCACTATGTGGTGGATGCATAAATCATATTAAATCAATCTTGATGCACAACACATGACAATTCCATAAATTGAACAACTTTCTTATTTGCAAATATAGGTTTTTTTAAAAAAATTTATTTGCTATTGTAGGTTATCACTTCTTATGTAAATTAAACTTACTCTAAATGTTGTCCAAAAATGCATTCACGCCTAGTGCACTTTTAGCTTGCCTGCTTTGTTTCCTTTGACCTACAAAAATTAGCATCACTCATCAAAACAATTAATACATGAGACGTTTATTAGCAACAGTGAAAGTAAACAAAATTGACCAACCCCCCTATGTATAGAATTCAGCATATGCTAATACCTCTGCTCTTCTTATACGTAATATCCATTCGACTTTCCCTGAATACCACACAATAAGAACTTGGTAATTTCCCCAACTCCAGATCATGACAAAGTTCAAAGTTTGAGTACACTCATAAAATGATCTCAAAATTAAATAGTTTCATCGCGTAATGTGTAGAAATGATTTGAAACCTCTGGGCAGATATCTAATCGTGTAGAACATGTGGGATTTCGTCTATAACTTGAAAAAGTAATGAACTATATGTAAACTTATCATGCAGGACAGAAGCAATTTTAACCGTAAAACTGGTATCATTCATTGTAGCAATGTACTCTACCATAAATATTACTACCACATTAATTTGCTTACAACTGTTTCAATGGTTATGAATTTGTCTGTTGTCAGTTGTTGCCGTATATGAAGGTGTTGGAAACCAGCCAGACTTTCCTCGAATTTAGGAGGACAAAACACAGGACCGTGGCAGTAATAAAGGGGAAAATATTGCAAAACCAGGGCTTTTTTTCTTTTTTTTTTTTTGACGTTTGAATGGATTCAAAGACCAGAAATTAACGCGACAAATGTGTGGGAGCTAGTGACCTTAAATATGTGCCTAGTTTTCATCTCTCAAATTTCTGAAGCTCCCCTTTTCCCCATTCCTTCCCTTTGGGAGTTTCGGTATCATTTTTTTCTCCTTCGGGAAATGATTGTTTCTTCCATCTGAAGCTCAGAATTCAAGTAAATTTTCGCACAATCTTTCTTTTTCTTTCCTTCCTTTTTGTTGCATGTTGTTTTCTCTTTGATCTTTGACATTAATAATAGAAATGTTCTTTGATTTATTTGTCACGTTCATCGTTTTTGTCGAATGTTAATATTACTTGAACATAGGACCAATGCGATGTGAATTTACTGTTGTCCTCGAAATCCCTGTTTTGTGGACACTGTTTATCTTGATTTAGCCATCTTACGTTATGCAAATATTTAATGCAACTCCAAAACCATAAGTAGAAGAAAGGGGGCGTTTAAATTTTCTTGATCTTTATTGTTCTGGAGAGACAGAAATTAATACTGTTATCTTCTAAATCAAAAGGAAACATCCATGAAATGTTTTGGCAACACGCATTCGACATTTAAAAAATAATTGCAACAGAGTCGGCCATTATCTGAACCGGGAGAAAATCAGAACATAGTTAAATAAGGAAAAAGGCTAAAGCAGGATCAAATCTGAAGGCAATTTGGTTTCACAACTTCTGGTAAATTCATCTTTGAAAGCCAGTATTCTGTTTTCCAAAGTTTTTGCTGGTACATAAATCTGTGCTTGTACGTGTTTCTGTGTCTGTTCTGCATGCCCGTGCGAAAATCTGATAGTTTGCCATTTATGAAATCAACCAGGCTGACAGGATTGGAAGAAAATGATCAGGCAACTGTTATTGTCTTTCTTGTTGATCCAAACCACTCTAGTGGCTGCCAGAGGCAGGGGAAGACGCCACCCTGCTGTTGTTCCCCCTCCTGCAAAAAAGTGGCTAACTCTAAATGGTAATGTATTATAACATTGAGTTGTATTCAATTTCCTGCTTAAAGGAAGCGAATGATCTCAATGCTTTAGTCCAATTATAAGTTTGTATGCCCTTTTCTGATTTGACTCTTTGCAGGAGGTGAGCCTGTGGTAGTAGCCAGGGGTGGATTCTCTGGAATTGCACCAGAGTCCAGTTTACCCGCTTATTCTACGGCACAGCAGACGAGCTTGGCTAGCACGATCTTACTCTGTGATCTCCAACTTACAAAGGATGCACAGGGCTTTTGCCAGTCTAGTCTGAACCTTCAAAATGCAACAACTATTGCTACAGCTTTTCCAGACTTGAAACCAAGAACCTACAACATAAACGGAAAGAATGTGGAAGGATTCTATGGGGTGGATTTTTTGGCAGATGATCTACTCAAAAACGTTTTCTGTAAGTTGTCAGACGGTTATACAGAGCTTCAGTTTCCTTTCTCAGTTTGTAGAGTACTATCATCTGGTTACAATTAAGAACAGAGAAAGTTACAAGAAGGGTTGAACTCAAACGCATTAGAAGATTAGGAAGCAATGCTAGTGCCCTTTCAAACAGTAGAAAATAATGAATTCCATGCTACTGCATAGTTTCTTTTGCTATCCTTCTTCATTCTCCTTCTGTTCTCTCTTAGAAAGCTGCATTTCGTATTGTTTAATCTGCACAAAGAAGTAATTTCTTGAGTTAGTAATGCTCTTCTGCTTAACAATTAAGTTGCTACCAGATAGACACAAAGATTGTGAATTGCCATTGAATTGATCTAACTCACATGCTTTCTCTGGCAGTGGTGCAAAGCATTTACTCAAGATCCCCTGGTATGGATGGTTCATACCCTCTGTTGACACCCTATGATGTTGTGGGCATGCAAGGTCCTCCTCCAGTACTATGGATGAACGTCGAGGTCCTTTCCTTGCTCTTTTATTTTCATTTAACTGACACTAATTAATGGTAATTTAACACAAGCAGAATTCAAAATACACCAAGAATCAATCACGAATTTTAGAGGAGTCGTCCATAAATTTTTGGGATTTCTTTGTTTTTCACAATTTGGATTTGATGTTGTTGCAATTTTGTGCTGCAGTATCCTAGTTTCTACGACGGACTGAAACTCAGCTCATCAGCATTTATTATAGATACCATGAGAGACTTGAATCCTGCATACATTTCATCACCAGAGATTGGATTCTTGAAGGGCTTAGTAGGAAAGGTGAACCCGGCAAAGCTCATTTTTAAGATTCCGGACATAAACGAAGTTGAACCTACAACGAAGAAGACATATGTTACACTGCTGTCAGACATAAATATGATCAAGACATTTGCATCCGGGATTATTCTTCCAAAAGAAAGCATATGGCCCGTAGATAGTGGAAGGCTATTGCTGCCTGCTACGAGTTCTGTATCTGATTTCCACAAAGCAGGTGTTGAAGTGTATGCTTCTGGCTTTGCAAATGATGACTACTTAAGTTATAATTATAGCTATGATCCAACCAAGGAGTATCTGCAGTTTATAGACAATTCTCAGTTTTCGGTTGACGGGGTAATTACGGATTTCCCTGCCACCGCATCAGAGTCCATTGGTGAGATTATGCTTTTTCTCTCCTCCATTCCTATAATATATTTCTCAATGAGTCAAAAGGAAGAGTACTGTAAAACCTATCAAAAAGTCAAACTGACTGAAACTGTCTCAAAATTTTACATTAGCTTTCTTCCTTGGTTTTACATGATCTAGTTCTGACCTGAGAACTGCTCATGTTGCAGCATGCCTAGCCCAGAACAAGAATGCTCCCAAAATTGTAAAAGGTAAGACTTTGTATCGTTTCATAGTGTTACACTTTGTATCGTTTCATAGTCTTGGAAAACAAAATTATGCAATCTATTGCTACATGGAATAACTCGTTGTCTTCTTGCATTAAAGCACTGATAATATCTGACGACGGAGCAAGTGGAGATTACCCTGGGTCGACTGATCTTGCATACCAGAAAGCCATAGATGATGGAACCGAGATAATCGATTGTTCTGTTCAACTGTCCAAGGATGGAACCGCCTTCTGCTTGCCTTCTGCTGATCTTATAGGGACAACCACTGCAGCATCTCTTTTCATGGACCGATCTACCAGGATACCTGAAATTCAAGATAAGAATGGAATATTCTCCTTTGATCTCACTTGGACTGAAATTCAATCACTCAAACGTAAGCAAAACGCTTTATTTAATAGTAAAATGGTTATAACACCTTTTCAAGCTTTTGACATATGATGCTTTTCTCCCTTTTCAGCTCAACTTGCAAGCGTTTTTGATGGCCCTCTTGCTCGAAACCCTGCAAACAAGAATGCAGGAAAGTTCGTTACTCTTAATGAATTCTTGGATCTTGCTAAGAAAAGGGCAGTTACAGGAGTTCTAATTAACATTGAAGTAAGATTCACTTCACTTCAAACTCTTTCATGGACTCCATTTGTCAAGATATATTTTGACTTCCGGGTTCCTTGTAAAACTTTTACATATCCCACGTCTCATGTAACATCATGATTATACTCTTCAACCGTGCACAAGTTAATTAACACTTGATCTTTTAATCAGAATGCTGCCTATCTAGCATCAAACAAGGGTCTTGACATTGTTGGTGCTGTCACCACTGCCTTGAGCAACGCCACATTGGATAAGCAATCTACTCAGAAAGTTTTGATTCAGTCAGATGACAGTTCAGTGCTTTCGAAGTTCCAGGACATCAAGACTTACCAAAGAGTCTTGGCCATCGACAAAGATATAAGTGGTTCAACCCAAGAAACAGCACAAGAAGTCAAAAAATATGCTGATGCTGTTAAAGTGTTCAGAAATTCTATTGTTCTGGACTATCCAAACCCCGTCTTCATGTCCTTGAATTACAGCAACCTTGTTGAAGTCATGCATGCTGCCAACATCTCGGTGTATGTGGGAATTCTGAGAAATGAGTTCCAAAACTTTTTATTTGATTACTACGCTGATCCTTATGTCGAACTCGCCACTCTTACTCAGAAAGGAGTGGATGGAATCGTAACTGACTACCCTGCCACAGCAAATGCATACATGAGTAAGCATTTTTATTTATCAATTTACATGAGCAAGTTTTACTACCACTTCAGCATTTTTAGGAATTTATCAAGGCCACCATATGGTTTCTTTTCTTCTATTTTTTGGCCTAACCTGGAAATCATCTCTATCATGATACATCTATTACTGAAGTATGGAAGAGAAATTTCCTCTGATCTCTACAATGAAATTAAATGAGCAACCAGAAGAACTGTTTTGAGGGGAAAAAATGTTCGTTGAATTTTCATGGAGAATTGTTAGAAATAGAGACATTACCACTAGCCAGACAACGAAAAAAAATAAAACAATGACCACTCTATGACAAATACGTGATTGCAGCACTACAGAAGAGCTCTAGATGAGCATAAAGAAGACATGTTATTATTTTCTTCAACACAATACATGCCTAGCTTACAAACGGTAACTTGCTGTCCTTTGCTGCTGCAGGGTCCCCATGTTCCAATCCAAATGCCAATCTTCCATATACAATACTACCCATCAATCCAGGTGACATGTTTAACAATCTGGTTACAGCAAAACCTCCAGAGGCTGCACCCGCTGTACCTCTCCTTCAAAATGCAGATGTCGATGATCCTGCACTGCCTCCTGTAGCCAAGATTTCAGCTCCCCCACCCGCATCCCCTTCTGAATCTGGCTCTAACTCTCTTCCTGCTCCAGCACCCAAAAAATCAAGAAGCACGAAAACTGCTAGCAACACAGGTCTCATGGTTGCAGCAATGGTTGCAGTACTTACCATTCTCAGCTATAATAGCAAAGTTTATTAATAGGCATATCCACATTTACAAACACCAGTGTTCACCCTGTCACCGGGAAATATTGCAGGTTTTTTTTTAGGTGGATGTATTAGTCCCGTTTGCTAAACGTTTTAGTAGGAATTTTTTGTGCTAATGATCATTGATTCCACTGACAAGAATAAGTTGCAGATTCTGGCTTATTTGTTACTATATTGGAGCTCAACTGTAGAGGCTAATACTGAAGATTCAAGTAATTTGTTACTGGTAATTAATTTAACCAGAAATTTTTCTTACCCAAAAAAGAAAAAATGAAATTTTAGAGCGTTCAAGCTGATAACCTGGAAATCAAAGGCAACTTAGATATCTTGATTAAAAGCATATTCTAATTCATGGAGTAATTTTTATCCTCAGACTCCGCTACAATCTTCTTCTGACGCTCAAGTTAGCCAGCAATTAATTACAAAATATCAGTCTAAAGAATGAAGATTTTCAGAACTGACAAGTAACTACAGAAAATCAATACCTTCCAGCAGTATTAAATTTCTTTTCACATCAAATTTTTGGCAATCCACGATGCCAACGATTTCCATCTGGCAAAACTTTAATCCTTAAGAATACACAAATTGCAATCAAAAGCCACAAAGTATTGTAAACTAAATCGTAAAAGAACATATATTCCATCAACAGATTTTCTAACCAAAAGACAGAAAATGGGGATAAAATGAAAAAAGCAATTTTGCTTGCTTCTGTTTCAAAAGGAAGGTTCCCAGCTACAGATCCAGAATATAGCTGAAAATTGAACGAAAAGAATAAGAAAAATTCTATGAGGTTGTGGGTTCATTATTAAAGCTTGAAGAGTGAAAAAAGGAGGCTCAGATTGGAGTCTGACATCAAGACAGGCTAAAACCGCTATGGCTGCAAACAACAGTTGCCGCATGAGAGAAATCAGACAAAGAACCCAAAAGGAAAAATGAACCATAAGTGCCCAATTTTTCTTTTGAGCCCTCTGCATATCCCTCACAGACCCTCCAGAGTTCACCAAGCCAAGCTACGGAAAAGCTCAAAATCTTGATTTCTATTTAGTTTCGTATTGATAACAAACAAACAAAAAAAAAAATCATCACAGCCTCAGATAAGCAGTTGGGAAAGAGGAGGAAAGGGAATGAAACCATGATACCACCAGTCTCTCTCTATCCATCCATCTATATATACATATATACATATATTTGTGTATACACTGTTTGTATGTGTGTATGTTTGGATTTGAAGGGTGGTTTTTTTTTCCTTCATTTTTAGTTGAAATCATTGGCTGATTTACAGAGAGGGGTAACCACCCTTGACAAACTCCATGCCTCTCTGAGTTTAGCCTCATTCTTAAACTAATAATGAGATGCTGATTCTAGGGTCTGCTCTCTTGCTTCAATGCCAACTTTATAGTAGTGTCTCCGCGGGCTACAGAGTCCGTCCTGTTATGTCCTTTCCAACCCTTTGTCTTGGAGGACACAGACGGTAATTCAGTCATCATGAAAACTTAAAAAGGAAAGAAAAGAAAATTAAAAATAAATAGTCTCGACCTCAATGAAAACCCTACAAATGGAGGCTCAGATTCGCCTTTGATCAGACAAATTGGTAAAAATTGCTAAAACCACCAATAGACCATGGCTGCAAAGCAACAGTTGCCTTTTTTTTTTTGCCAGAAACTCAACAAAATTTGACCATCTGAGCTGTGCCCTGCCAAGTTATGGTATTAGCTCTTTTCAAAGTCTGAGACTTCTTTCCAAGTCCACAAACCTATTCATCACAGCCTCGTCCGTATCGAACTACTGTGAGAGAGAGAGAGAGAGAGACGTAAACAATAGCTAAAAATGTTCAAGGACCATTTTGCAGCCTGCATTTTCCGAAGGGCGGTTGTGAAAATAGGAGCTTCATTGCTTTTTTTGAGATCATCGGCGGAGATACGCGGGAAAGAGAGGGGCAACCACTCTCAGGAACTCCATTTACCTCTCTTCCGGCGAGATTGGTCCCCGCCTCAGTCTTAAACTAATGAGATTTTTGCCTTTTTTTTTGAGATCCGGTATGCTTGTTTCTTTTATAGCACTAGTTTCAGGCCTTTCGTGGGCCTTTGCTCATTTCACTGATGAAGCCCTAAACAAATTATACCATTATAACCCAGCAAATGAAGCCCAAGTATCTGCCAAATGAAAGCCTACAGTTTGTAACTAATTAAATTAAATATTATACATATAATTAATTATAATTATATAAATGTTATAATATAAATATATAATTATAATTATATAATATATAAATATTAATTGTACTAATATTTTATATAAATATAATGCATATTAATATTAGATATAGTTATTATTATATTTAAAATAATAAATGTAGTTATAATTATATAATTTATTAATATTATATACATGTATATATTATAATTATATGCACATATAATATACATTTATAAATATACATATATATTATAAATATATTATTATATAATATTAATAAATTTATAATATATATTATATAATTATAATTATATTTAACTAAATAATTATAATATATATTTATATATTCTACTGATATTATAATAAAATATTATAATTATAATATATTATATATATGTATATATTGTATTATAAATATAAATATATAATATGTATAATATATATAAATATTAATTATACTAAATATTATGTAATTATAAGATTTTGGAATCACACTTAATTTTTGGATAAAACCCACCCTTTTACTAAGGAATAGAGAGATGCCAAATTTTTAGAAATCATTCCAAAATTTCAATTCTCATACCAGTGAACCAAACACCAATTATGGAGTTTATTCCTTTACTTCATTCCGATACCCTTTTACCAAACGCCCTCTAAGATGCAATTTGGGGTTTGAGGTCCTCGAGGAGGAAACAAAAGAACAGGTTAATTAGTTATGAGAGAAAAAAATTTATTCTTTTTCTCTTTGAGAGGTTCTGAACCAAGTAAAATGATTTGACCTCGTTGGTTATTTCGAGATTAAGGATTCCTTTGATAAAACTGAAGTCTGAAATTTGAAATCTGAATCTATTAAATTATTAAATTGTTAAATACTAAATTTGATACATTTGAATGTATATCGCATTAAATGATAAGTTGTTATCACTTATTTTTTTTAAAAAAATTATTATCACTTATTTTTTGAAGCAAATTTTGCCTAGAAAATTCAGTGACACTTAATTAATTCAGATATTCAATTTTTAATTATTAAACGAGTTTGAACATATTAAAATCTGAATTCATTAAAATAAAATATTTAATTGAATTATCAAACAGGAGCTAAGCTCTCTTAAATTAATCAAACTATTGCTCCTCTTGTTCTTTATTATAATTTTGGCTTTACTTAAAAGAAGAAGAAAGATCCAACACTATTTATGTTGTTAATCCGTCCATTTAAAGGTTTATGGGCCGATTCTAGTGTTTTCCACTTCCATGGAGATCCGCATGAATTTTGGCATTATTTTTTTTCTTGTAACTTACAGAAATAGAAATAAACTGCCTCGGAATGCAAATCAAAACAAATAGTAAGTACAAAAATTGAACTTTCATTATGCTTAAAAGTTGTTCTTCATCGTCTTGAGCAACTTTCTCTTAATTGCGTGTAAGAAGTGAAACGTCGAGGAACATTTTGGATGTTTTGTGTTTTTGCTGCAGGGCTTCTTGGTGGTAGGTATTGATTCTTTTTCTTTTTCAATTTTTTCTTTTTGATAAATTACTGATTCGATTGACATTGTACTCGATAAAGCCAAATTAATAGCTCATAGACGTGAGAAAGACAACTATGTTTATTTCCCCTTATTCTTATCTCTTTTTTTTGTCAGCAACGATACATTTGTATAACCTATTCTATCATAATCTAGGGGGAAGGAAAGCCTAAAGAGGCTGTGATAAGGAGCTAATGGGTATACAGACTCAACTAGATCAAGAGAATACTATGACATAACGCTTAGATTTTTTTCACTGCAGGTGAAGATTCAGCTCAAGGAGAAACTTAAGTCCCTCCCAGGTGGCTGTATATAATTTAGTTGTCTTTTTTTTTTTTTTGCAACCGCATCTAATAACATGACCAGAAAATTAGTAGTATATCTAGCTGATATAAAGCTTCGGAAATGAAAACAGAATTTTGACACATAATACCATAACGAGGAAACTGTACAAGAAAACAGAGCAAATAAGGGAAAAATAAAATCAGCAAAGTAAAGAAAAAAGAAAAAGGAGGCTCAGATTTGCCTTTAATCAGACAGAAAATGGCTCAGCCCGCCATGGCTGCAAAAATCAGTAGTAGTACTTGTGATTCTTGCCCAGCCAAAATACGGGCTTAGCTCAAAAATCTGACTTGCATTTGACGCAGGATTAAATCATCACAGCCTTTGATTTTGGGGGTTTTGAGGGCTTAAGAAGCTGGAAATGGAAACAGCAGTAGAATGATTGCGCTCTTTGGGATGCAGCATAAAGGGTTGTTTGGTGGGTAGCGATGAAATCACCGGCGGCGTAATTGCAGAGAGGGGCAACAACCCTCCACAAAACTCCCTACCTCCCCCACAATTACACTGCCTCATTCTAGGGGTCCTCATTCTATCGACGCCTCTCGATCTGAAAAAGCTGATAAAGCATGTAGAGACCAAGGCTAGTTTGTGAGTTTAGGATAGAAAGGAAAAGAAAGAAAACTCTAATGAGGACTGAGGTGAGAAGCGAGCTTGTTGAATATGGATTCTCAACAACAAAAAGAATCGAACTTAGTTGAGGCTCAGATCCGTCGTATCAGTAAGGCAATGAGGAAGTAAACCGCCATGGCTGCAAAAACCGGTTGCATGTCGGAGAGAACCCAAATCAGATTCTCCTTCTTCTGCCATCCGGGTTGCCCAACCAAGATACGGGCCACTTTGTCTCAGCGCCAAAATTTCATTTGCTCAGAGAAATTATCATCATGGCCTCAAATTCAGTCCTCCGTGATCTTTCTTTCTTTTCTTTTTCTTTTTTTTTTTTTTGGGAGTGTTTGGAAGAGCATGTGATGAATATTGTGGATTGATGATGAGGAACCAGAAACAGACCTCGCACTTCAATTCGTCCATGGATCCATGACTAGAAAGCATCTTCAGTTTCTGCAGCTGAAGGGTTGTTGGCTTTGTGGAGACTTGGGTGCAAAAAACAGAAGAAAATCTCTGGCTCAGGAGAGGGGGCAACCACCCTTAAGAAAATCCCATCTCTTTCTACAGCCTCATTTCTTTGCTCTGAGTCTGAGGACAAGTTCTTTTGCCCATTTTTTGTTTTATACTTTTATGTGAGTCCTTAGTATTGTTTCCTAGTTACCTTTTCTGGCCTTCTTTTCACTAGTTTTCGCGTCTTTGACATAATAGTCCATGGCCCCTAGTTACCTTTTCTGGCCTTCTTTTCAGTTTTCACTAGTTTTCGCATCTTTGACATAATAGTCCATGGCCAAGATTCTTGTCCAAATTGCCTGAAAATTTCACCAGTGAGTGCCTTTGACTGTTCAGTACTCCGACTTTTTCATTGATTCCCTTGAATTCACCCCTTTCGTTTTTTATTTAGTATAAAATAGAAAGAAATTTAAAATAAAATTTATCGTGTCTAGAAGAAAAGTCCATGGGAATGCCCATTTCATTTTTTGGATTTACACATTGGATTTAATTTTGTTAATAATACAGTAACCATTGTTGAGAGAATTAATTAACCAAGTCTAATCACCATATACGGTGAAGAAACAAAAGATATATAACTACATAGCTTAACTAAACTTTCACGGCCAAGAACATGAAAGTGCTTGGCTTGGCCTTCGCTCAGCTCTTGATTATCATTTTTTTTTTTTTGCTTATTTTTCAGTTGGCTTCCTTTTTTTTTTCCCTTTTTAATGAATGCCTACTGAAAATTATCCCTACAAAGGTCAGGGGTGCAATTGTCAGAAACTTAAGGGGATATTTTTGAAATTATCTCTAAGCCCAGTTGGTTTTTTTTTTTTTTTTTTTGGTGGGTAGAACTAAGCCCAGTTGGTGCAATTGAATGCCGTCTACTACAAAGTACAGACAACCAAGGCAATAAAGAAACAAAAGAAGAAAAATACCTTTTGAAGGTAAACAGGAAATATCTCAGTTAAAATAAGAAATGTAACTTGAAACTGAAGAACAAAAAAGTTAAAAATTTGCTAATAAGCAGTAAATAGAAAAAATAGCAAAATGACAACTCTGTTTTGCATTAAAATCTTTGAGGGTTCGTATTTTTGGGTGAAGATTAACTTCAGATGCTAACCATCTTGTTTTTTAAGTAGTTTTTTGGTCACAAGCAAAGCACCTTTACATCATAGAATCCGAGCCAAGAATAGGCAGAGAGCAAAACAAGGAAAATCAAAGGTGAAAACCAAATTATCCCTAGGGTACAAAAAAGTGAGTAATCACTTATTTCTTTCAAGAAATTAAGCGGAATAAAAAAAAAGTATGAGGCTCAGATCTGCTATAACAGTTGGACAAGGAGAAAGTGAACAGCCATGGCTGCAAAATCCGGTTGCATGAACGGAAAAACCATATCAGCTTTTTCCCAATTCTGCCTTCCGGGTTGCCCAACCAAGATACAGGCCACTTTTTCTCAATGCCCCAAAATTCATTGCCCAGAGAAATCATCAGTCATCACAGCCTCAAATTCAATCCCATTTTTCTTTTCTTGGTTGGCTTAGCGCGTTAATCCTCAAGGCTAAATATACAGAAACAGAAAGACGACAGACATTAATCCTCAACATACGAAATATGTGAAAGCAGAAAGGTCATGCAATCCATTACTTCCGTTGGAGTATCCTCCAGTAGAAGGGCTGTTGGTATCGTGGGGGGACTGGAAAAGAAAATCATTGGCTCTGCAGAGAGGAGCAACCACCCTCACGAAAATCCCATCTCTCTGACCAGCCTCATTTTCTCCTCTGCTCTAAGCTCTGAGTTGACTAGAATTAGACAGGTTTTTGGCTATCAAGTCCTCTTTTATGTTACGACATGCTAGGAGTCAAGGCGTAGTTACTTTTGACCATTCTGTTGATCATCCTTTTCCGGGTTTTTTTTTATAAATTATTTATTTGTATTGGGTTGTTTATTGACAACTTTTACACGGGGATAAGGGTGATACTGGACCAAGTAACTCAATTCAAATTTACGAATTACTTGCTTAAGAGTTTGACTCGAGTTTGCTTTCACCAAATTCGAGATCGAATTCAAGCTACTCGTTTAAGTTTAAGGTTGGGTTGAGTTGAGTTCGAGTTCTAAATTCTTGTAATTAAAGGCTCGACGAGCCTAATCAATTTTTTTTTAATAATATATATATTTTAAAAATTTTATATTGTTGTTGTGAAATATTGCATATTAATTTTTATTAGGTGGGTTCGATTAGACTCGAATAGGCTCGATTGAACTCGATTAGAGTCATTAAATTTAATTAAATTCAAGTTCGAGTAAAATAAACTAAAATTGAACTTAATTTAAAGTTCGAGTTCAATCTCAACGTTTAAAAGTTTGACGAGCACAAACTCAATTATTTTATCTCATGTCAAGCTCGAGTAGTGACCCGACTCAATTGCACCCTTGCTAGTCATTTTTAGGACTCGCACGTTATATTTCATTTCCGAGAACCACTCCTAGTACAATTCCATTATAAAAATTTTAGGGAAAATTATAGTTTGCCCCCTAAACTTGATGCCTTTTAACACTTTGTTCCCTCAACTTTAAATATATACACTTTACCCCCTATATTGATTATTTGAATATTAATGATCAACTTTCCATCTAAATTTTTAATAAAAGACATTAATGCCAGAGCAGTTGGATGGTGCTAGCTAGAATATATAGCACTTTAATAGGAAAAAAAACACTACATCATGTGATACTAAAAAATTAAAGAATAAAAGATGATGAAATTCAAAATAAAAATTGTATTGTAGAGTAAAAAAAAAAAAAGAAAATCCTCAAAATTATATGTTGTGTTGCTTCTCTTTTTCCTTTAAATTATAAACAAATTATCTTTGATAAATTTCGATTATCTTGCAGCTCTCACAAGATTTTACAAGTCAATAATATGTGAATTGCTTTTCCTATGTCACATTTGCATCTTACCTTACATTTTGGTTGAGTTCTACATTATTTAGGAAATAATTGAGATTTTTAAAATACATTTCCACTACATGTTTATTTATGTCAATCAATATTTTATCCCTAATAAATTATACAAAAAATGTTGCAATAAAAAATAAGCACTAATATCAGTATTAAGATAAAACACTTTGAATTGCTTAGATTTTTTTTAATTTTTTTGGCTTTTTATTGCTAAAAGTTTAAGTGCATGGTGTGGTTGTGTTTAAACCAATTTAACAATTGTTGAAAAATAGCTATTTATTAGGTTATAATTGTTATGTGTTCAAGAATTAGCCAATGATATTTTGGTCTTGTAAAATAAAACTTCACCTTAACCATATTAATAATATAACTTTAAGGGGTAAAGTGCATATATTTGGAATTTAGGGAGCAAAATATTACTTAGAGTCTAGTATAGAGGAACATAGTGTAATTAACCCAAAATTTTATTACCAAGTCTAAATTCACTATAAAAATTTAAAACATCTGAGTATTATGTATCAAAGATTTTCTCGGTAATAACGAAAAGGCAGCGTAATAAATCGCGGGAAACTCATTAAGAAATAAAGACAAGGAAAAACGTTGGCCGAGGCGTTTTGCTAAATTGTTTGGGAGGCGTGATAGACTACTTGCAATGTCTTAAATGTTTTGCATCTTGTAAGCGAGGACAATTGGAACGTTACGAAATTTAAAACATGGAAAAATTATTATAATTTTCAAAGGGACAATAAATTTGTTAAAATTTCTACAACTTATTAGTTTTACATGCATAAATTTATAGTAATAGATTTTTTTAAAAAATCATACATGTGTATGGAGATATGCTATAAGAGTATAATACCAATTTTACTCAAAATATGACTTTTAGAGGTATCAAAACCATTTTTTTAAAAAAAATTATATAGCGCATTTTTTTAAAAATTTTTTGAAAATCCTTAGTTACTAAAAGTCAGTGCAGGTTAATTTAGTGAGAAGAAAATACTTAGTTTATACTTCATAGACCTTAGATATACATAAAGCTAAAAGGATTGTACGACGACTCTAATTTTTCTAAATTTTTTCGTAAAGTTTATACTTAAGATTTGTTACCTTTAGTAGGACTGAAATTTTTCAGAGGGATAGTCAAGTCATTTTAGGGACCAAGAGTTTTTTTTTTATTTTTTTTGGGGGACAGTCAAGTAGGTGGTAAAGGAGGTTTATCTTATCTCTAGGCGGAGGAAGTTCCATTTCCCCAGGGGGGGTTTTCTGAAATGAACCCTAAATGCCTAAATTGCTAATCCCTTGGGGGAGTAGGGAAGATCCTTGGATTGAGGCCAGTGTAATTTGGGGCAGGGAGGTTGGGAGTTTTTGGGAATGGGTTGTTGCCCCTCTCTGCAATTACGCTGCTGCCGATGATTTCATTTCAATGCAAACAAACAACCCTGAACCCCTCTGGAGGTTTCTGAAATTATCCCTTTATACTACTCTGTACAGCTTCAATAGCAGATCGGCAATATATCTGATCAAAGCAACCGAAGGACCTGCGCTTAACTTCGACCATCCTTAGCCATCTGCCTTTCATTCTGGTTACCTCACTCTCCTCTCCAAATTTCACCACCACCACCCGTTGCATATGATATGAAAGCCTTCTCGTCTTCTTTGCCCTTTTTATTTTTTCCTTCTCCTTCTCTTGAATCTCTGCCACCCACTTGCTGAGTCTTTGAACCATGGGGAGAATCCTTCTTCGATTGAGGCAGTGTAATTTGGGGCAGGGAGGTTGGGAGTTTTTGGGAACGGGTTGTTGCCCCTCTCTGCAATTACGCTGCTGCCGATGATTTCAATGCTAAAAACAAACAACCCTTCATGATGCATGATGCTGCGAGAAAAAGGTCAGACATCTCTCATGATTTCACAGGCCAGTCCATCCTAAATTCTGTATCCCACTGGTAATTGGAGGCTTTGATGATATCTTCCTTTCTTAGATTGTGTCAGATTTGGAGCTAGCTCGTATCTTGGCTGGGCGAAAATCACGGAAGAGTGGTTTTTGCAGCCATGGCGGGCTTAGCCTTTTCTCTGATGATGATAAGGAGATCTGAGCCACCACCCCCCTTGCATATGATATTAAAGCCGCCTCGTCTTCTTCACCCTTTATTTTCCTGCTCCTCCTCTTGAACCTCTGCCATGGCGGGCTTAGCCTTTTCTCTGATGATGATAAGGAGATCTGAGCCACCACCCCCCTTGCATATGATATTAAAGCCGCCTCGTCTTCTTCACCCTTTATTTTCCTGCTCCTCCTCTTGAACCTCTGCCACCCACTTGCTGTATAGTGAAGAGTCTTCAAAGAGAGAATTTTGGGTTAAAGATTGATTTGTTATTGGCTGTCTTTCTGCGCAATTTCTCATACATTGGATACCGGTGAGTTTTTTTTTTCTTTTTTTAATTTTTGATACCCTAATGTGTCTCTGAAAATCATGGTGAAAGCCTCATTCATGGATATCTGATGGGTCAATGCGGTTTGACTCGGTAGACTCGGCCGCTCTTTTGAGTCCCGGAGTTGACTGAGCCGGAATTTTCCGAGTCTGAACGAGTTTCCACCGGGTCTACCTTCTCCAGGATATGGCGGAACGGAAGCTGAAGTTCTGACGACTCAGACTCGGCCGAGTCTTTGAACGCCCTTTGGATGAGGCAGTGTATTTTGGGGCAGGGAGGTTGGGAGTTTTGGGTGGGTTGTTGCCCCTCTCTGCAACTACGCTGCCGATGATTTCAATACAAGCAAACAGCCCCTGTTGATGCTTGCCAGATGTAGTACAAACTTCTCTAATGATTCCACAAAAACCCTAAATCCTAAATCCTTGTAATCAGAAGCTTCGATGATATCCGCCTCTTCCAAATTAAGTCAAATTCTGAGCTAGCTCGTATCTTGGCTCGGCAAAATCTCCCAATGGCGGTTTTTGCAGCCACGGCGGGCTTAGCCTTTTCTCTGATGATTATACAGCTCAGAAAGAAGAACGAATGAGGCAGCAGCAGAGGAGTACGGGATTTCTTTAAGGGTGGTTGCCCATCTCTGCTTTGCCTATGATTTCGCCATTGGTTACTAAAAAACCAACAGCCCTTCGAACAGAGCCAGGGAAATATATGTATATATATATGTACACAAACACACGTATGCATATCAACATGTGTGTGTGTGTGTGTGTTTAACAATAACAGGGAAGAAGCCCTCGTTGCGAGTTTTCTTTTTTTTCTTTTCTTTCTTTTTGGCGACGGTGTTATATGAGATGAAGGTGGTGGTGGAGGGATTCGGCGATTATGGAAAAGAGGCGGTGATGATATTTGTTGGGCATTATTTCTGAGCGAATCAAATCGGACATTGGAGACGAACCGACCCGTAACTTGGCTGGGCAAACTCAGCAGTTGGTCTCGTCTCATGCATGAGCAGCTGCAGATTTTGCAGCCATGGCGCGGTCAATGTCTCTGTCCGATTCATAAAAGAAATCTGAGCCTCATCTTTCTGTTGTTTTTTTCTTAAAAAAAGAAACATTTTTTAGTATATCATTTTGATACCCCTTTTGGTCCCTGATTGAAAAATATATATTTGAGTCCTCAATCCTTTTATGTTGATGTGTGTCTCAAGAATGTGTCAAGGCTACAAGCCAGGCCTTGTTATGGACCATTAGCTATCAAGTGTTTCAAAGAGCGCTTTCGAGGCCCGTCTCATGACGGAGCGTTTTGTTATTTATACAGTCTATTTACTTTCAAATTTGTACGGTTCGTATTTCTGTGAAAAATTTTAATTGTACTTTTAAAAATTTATATAGTATATAATCTCTCTACGATCAAGCGCGTCATTTTTTTTCTACAAAGAATGCCCATCTCTTATTTTACTAATTATGCCTAGAACAAACAAAAGAAAAGAGAAACATCCGTTTGGACAGTTATTTTTCGCCGAAAATTTGTATCGTTTTTTGTGATCATATTTTTTTTATTATCTTTTTTTTTCACATACATCAAATCGTTATAGTAATTTTTTTACAAAAAATTCAAAAAAATGCAACAATCCAAACAAGGCCTTAAGATCGTAATCTAATGGGTCTTTTTTTTAAAAATTATATAAATAAAATGATTCGAATTTGAAATTTCTCATTTAATATTGTTTACATTCAAACCATTCAATCTATTCTTCCCTTCCAATCCATCTGGGTAATGTGTTACTTGAGCTTTCAATTATTGTCAATTTTTATTTTATTATTTTAAAGAAAAATTAAGAAAATAGACTGACATAATTACATCACAATTCAAAACAGACTATAACCAAAGAAAAGAAAAAGGTAAATAACTAAAATGTTTAAAAAAAATTCGCCACGGACAAATGTTACGGCAGTCAAAACGCTGTTCATAGTAAACTGCGCGAATGGGTTTTTCCCGGAAGGGTTTGAGAAAAGGCTCTCTTGCCTGATTACACGCTCGTCTTAGCAGTGCTTGACTACTTTCTACTTGCTTTTTGGGCCAACATCTTTGGTATGGTCGATGCCTCGATGGGGATGCCCATTTCATTTATGGACTTGCGCAGGGGATTTAATTCCATTAATAGTACAATAACTGTGAACAAATCAATCAACCAAGTCTAATTCGTATAAAGTGAGAAAATAATATTTTATACTTTTATTGTTCTACTTTGATAGTGCTGTTTTCCTTTTTTATCCATCCCAAATTATAGTCCATCTACACCTTCCAATTGAATACTCTAGTTAACTTTTAATTTATTTAAAATACTCTTTTTAATGTAATTCATGATCAATAGATATGGCATATCTTATTTAATACAATCAAGTTTTCTACCAATAATTGTTTTGATATATGTGTGTGTATGTATATATATCTTGAATGGTGCAAAATACCATCATTATTGCTCTTGTAATTAATGTAATAGTGATTAGTGATAATATCAATTGACGGGTATTTTAGAAAAAAATTAGGCTAGATTTACTTTTCCAACAAAGTTAACTTATTTTTTTTAAACTGTGTGAGGGAAAAAACGATACTATCAAAGTGGGATGCAAGGAGTAATTACATGGCTTTTAACTTTCTTAAGAACATGAAGGTACTCGATGTTGACCTCTTTTTTTTTTTTTTTTTCTGTGGCCTATGGGAAATCAGCATATACTAGTGGCATTGAATATGATTTTATTGATGACCCTTAAATTTGGTAACGCACAATTCAAATCATTACCAAAATTAGTTCTAAAAAATCTGCTCAATGAAAATATGGACACTACAAAGGGGGAGAGGTGGGTTGGATGGTAGAGGGGAGTGTAAGTGAGAGGTCCGTTTTTGAGACCTCTCACTTACACTATAAAAAGAAAAAATGACACCACAAAGAATTCCAAATTATTGTACTAAGAGATTTCCTTTCCATTAAGCAAGTAATTTTCATTTCTATTTTGTAAGGGTTAGGAGAAGGACAATCTGCTTACTTTGTGTCTCAGCAAGGAAGACAACCGAGAAGAAATTTGATCAGGGTCCTCGTCTTCTGCCAATGAAAATACTTCACATAAGATTGCAAGGTCCATTAATTTCACATTAAGTAAAATCCAAATAAGATTATAGGGTCTTTATTAAGAACAATCCAAAGAAGTACAATCCCAGTAGCTGTTCTGCACCGGATGAAATTTCTCAGAGACATTGGAAAGCCCCATCATCGTAAATGTGACAATTCGTATGGCCTGCACTAATTTCATAGTACAGCATTGAATGGATTCTTCTACCTTTTGAGCAAACCAATTACTAACATTGAATGGATCGGATCGTTCTACTTTTGAGCAAACCAAAATCAAGCCTAGTTGGTGCAATTTCAATGCAGTCCTCCACAAAGTACAGACCGTTTAGGCAATAAATCTATGCGTTAATTCCTGGCACCGGTCACCGGTTTAGGGGGGCAAAGAAAAAAAGAAGAAATACCCTTGAAAGTAAACAGGAAATATCACTTTTGTGTGTTCCGTTAGAATAAGATAAAAGGTAAAATTTTACTAAGAAGCAGTAAAAAGGAAATCCCGAAAACAACATGAGAGTTTATATGATTGGCTGCAGACTAAAGCAAGATACTGGCCATAGTATGTCTTTAGGGAAGAAACTATTTTGTTTTGTTTGGACAAAATCAAAGTACCTTTACATCATGGAATCTAAGCCAAAAAGAATAGGTAGAGCACAAAACAAGACTAAGTAAAACGTTCAAAACCAAATTATCCAGTAAAATTGATGCATACAAATTCACTCACAAAGGCATGGTACAAAAGCGAGTATCATTTCTTTCAACAAATTATGGGAAACAAGAAATTAACCAAATCGCTGCTTTAGAATGAGGCTTTGAGTACTGGAGTAAACATGGGACGCCAAAATAATAACGATAGCAGTGATCTAGGTTGTTAGCCAAAAAAATTTTTTTTTTTTTTGAGTAAATGATATATTATAAAGAGTTCAATATTTTCTTATCAGAACTTCAAGAATTTTCACAAATGCACCCACAAAAAACAGAAGGTAGCGACATATCTTAATGCTGCATGATGAGTTGATTCGAATGGGTAAGAAATGAGGAGAAAAAAATGAGGCTCAGATCTGTTATAACAATTAGGCAACGAGAGAGTGAACCGCCATGGCTGCAAATACCAGTTGCATGAACTAGTTCTGCCATCTGGATTGCACAGCCAAGATACGGGCCACTTTTTTTCTCAATGCCCCAAATTTCATCATCACAGCCTCAAATTCATTCCCCTTCTGCTTTTCTTGGTGTAGTATGGAAATGATAGGTTACGTCTACGGTGGAAGGTCAATGTCACAGTCATCAAGGTGTCAAAGATACAGAAACTGATAAACGAGAGACATTGAAGCTAGAAGATCATCATACTGGTAGTAGCTAGTAAAGCCATTGATGTTTCCTCCGATTCCAGAGTTTAAAAGGGCTGTTGGTTTCGCGGCGGCACTGAAAAAGAAAATCATTGGCTCAGCAGAGAGGGGCAACCACCCTTGAGAAAATCCCATCTCTCTGTCCAGCCTCAATTTCTTCTCTGCTCCGAGCTCAAAGTTAATTCGACTGGTTTTTAGTGGTTTAAGTAGTCCTCTTGTGCTATCTTACAGTTCTTACTGCGTGCTAGGCTGCTAGCACCAAGGTGCAGCAACTTTTTGACCATTCTGTTGATTAGTTTTGACTACTTTTTGCCCTTTTTCCTTTTTGGTAAACTAATAATCACAACTTCAACTTCTTCCTCCTTTTTAGTGTTTGTTTAGTGCTTAGTCGGGCCTAATAAATTTTTTCCATCAAATGATGATGCATCATCCGTAATTAGTCGCTCACATTCATGTCCAACATTTTAATGACAGAAACCTTTGAATTTGAAAATGCTGGTTCCAGATTTGCATAATTAATTCACTTTACAATAATTACTCGGATGAATTAACCATCATTTTGTTTTTCTAATTTGGCCATCTTTTGCCACTTAATTACTTTCCGTGGAGATTTTTGCAGATCCGCAGTGGCTTTTAGAGTGAACTTTTTGCATGTGCAATAATACTATACAACAATAGATGTTACTATTCATATTAATAATTAGAATCTCACTTTCGTTACTTTTTTTTCATCTTTTTTGGCCAAAAAGGAGGGAAAAAATGAAGGCGAAGAAAGCAAATAAATTAAATGTCATTAGCTCCATCCAAAATCCAGAGGATTTTTCCAATCAGATAGAATCGTAATACCCAAAAAAATAAAGAACAATAATATAAATTTTAGAAATAATCGAAAAAAAAATAATTGAGGGCTCAGATTTGTTAGTTTTAACCAGACAGAGACATCGACCACGCCATGGCTGCAAATCACCAGTTGCATAGGAGACAATAATGATGTCCCAAATACCGTACCGGGTTTGCCCAGCCAAGATACGGGTCGGTTAATCTCGACTGCCCCGATTTGATTTGCTCAGAAAGGATGCCCAGAATTATCATCACAGCCCCTTTTCATTATAGACAACCTCCACCATCACCGTCACCGCCGTATCACAGTCCGGCGTCAACAGAAAAAAAAAAGAAAAAGAAAAAGAAAAAGCGCAAGAAGGGTATGAACCCTGTCAAGAACACACACACACACACAAACACAGATATTGACATGTATAGATATATACATACATCTCTCTGTTTCTCTGTCTCTGTTGTTCTGTTTTAAAGGGCTGTTGGTTTTTCAGTAATCAATGGCGAAATCATAGGCAAAGCAGAGGGGGGCAACCACCCTTGAAGAAATCCCCTACTCCTCTGCTGCCTCATTCGTTCTTCCTCCTGAGCTTTCACGAAACCCTGGCGGTTGGGTCTTTGGCCCCTTTTATTTATAGTGCCCTGCCCTTGTTTTTTCGCCCTTCTTCAGTACTTTTTTTACCGTTACAACACCTGTACTACCATCTCATGGTGGGAATGGTAGAAGGGTATCATTGTAATTATACTTTCCTACTTTTTATTTTTCCGGGATACCATTTTGCACTTTTGCAGGTTGAATAGCTTTCTCTTAATTTTTATGACAGGAAGCACAGTAAACAATGAACCTTTCCTTTGAATATACTTTCAGTATATGGAGCTAGAATAGCTCCTCCAAAATTGCTCTTCTAGATCTCTTTAGTAATCTGCTGTAAATTGTAGACACAATATTTGATACATTGAATTAAAATATGTTATGTTTGACTTTTTTGTTTTAAATTCTTTTGGCCAAGCTAATGTCGCTTAATA